AATAATCATGGTTGAAAGATATCAATATTTTCAAAAAGGAGATCTATTAACAGAAATGCATTAACAGTTTCACTTTCAAAATGCATAATTAAGTATAATCCGAATAATTGAAATGCTTATAACATTTTAACAGTAGTGCATAATTCAAAGGATTTCACAAATTACCCTACTGGCGTCCCAAATAGGTCACCTATATACCCTATCAGCGTCCTGATGGGTCCACTTAATCCCTATCGGCATCGCAGATAGGTCCACTTAATCCCTGCAAGTCCACTTATACCTCACCGGCGTACCGGATGAGTCCATTTAATCCCTACCGGCGTACCGGATACTCACCGGCGAACCGGATGAGTCCACTTGCATACTTAAAGTATTTCTAAATCTCTTTAAACATCCAAAAGCAACAATATCATGTACTCAACATATCACTGAAATTATTAATATGAATTTCACTGAAACCATTAACAACAGTCACTTTCAATAACATTTCAAAAATAACAAGTCAAATATTTTGGGCTCAAATTTAGAATGGTAGTAGTTCGTAAAGACATTCTAGCATAATTGCCAATCTAATATGTATAGAAAAATTCTAATAGAAATTCAAGAAAACGGAATTATCACAATTTATGGAATGTTAATTCGTAAATAAACATTTCACAGACAATGCTATAATCAATTGCAAAATAACAGTTTTCAAATAATAAGGCAGTTATTTGCACATGAAATTTACAATGTCTAAATATTAAAAAACAGTAGAAAGAAATCTCACAATTTTACTAAAAGCAGAAATATCACATTTATTTTTAATAATTTTACAGTATCTAAAATTTTCTAACAATAGACAAGAAAAATAAATAAATTTATTTCTAAGAATTTACAGCATTTAAAATTTTTAACATAGATAAAATATCACAATTTTATTAAAAAGATTATTTTTCAAAATAATGAGGTTGCTTTCGCATAAAATTTATCGCGCAAAAAATTCATGATAATAAGCAGAAGTAATTATTTCATTTCATTTTTAAAAAGAACAGATTATTTTTCAAGATAATGAAGTCACTTACCAAAAATATTTGAGAAGGAGCTTCCGATAAAAATTCGGCTAAAGAGAGAAAGTGCTCACTGCGTTTCGATTGGAGAGAGAAAGATCTCAAAAAGTTTTC